CTACATAGATATATGATGTAATCCTTCTTGCTTTGGAATTGTTACTGATGAGAGCAAATATTATATTTTGTTGTAATTACACTTAATATTTGCTATAAATGTATACCTAATTTTGGATTATTAGTGTTTATTGATCAATTGGATACAGTTCAAGTGAGTTTTGTGAATAATTGCTTTAATTGAGGAATTTCTATCATTTTCTTAATTCTAACCCTTGCTATGTAATTTAGGATTTTCTAGAATTGTAGGTGTCCTAGTCTCATGCTACATGAGCCATTGAAAAGCTAACATATAGGGCTACAAATGAAAGAGACTAAAACCCTATTTATCCCTTAAGGAGTTAAAAATTCTCTGCAACTCTAGAATAGAAGTTTAGATTATATATAATAATCTATATGCCATCATCCAGGCTCGTTACAAGTCAGGTACCATTTTCCTTTTAAATATAATTATATAAAATAAAATAGTAATCAATCACATAAAGGGATCTGTTTAGTCAAAATTAGTTATTTTGGTAGTTGTTAGCTGTTTTAATAGCATTTAACTATTTGAATAGTTGTAGTTGTTTGAGTAGTTGTAGCAGGCTTTTCACAAAACGCTAAAAGTTAAATGTTACAAATGTTAACCTTTTATAAAACACTACCTTAACCTATAAAAGCTAGTTCAAATGCTATATTACCGAACACTATAAAAAATAGCTTTTAGCATTTTGACCAATCAAAACGCTAAAGCTATTTAAAAATTTGTTGTGGAACACAAACTGAATATAATTGAATATAAAAAACCCAATAGTGGACCTTCTTCTTCTTCTTCTTCTTCATCTTTTGAAAAAATTACTATTTCATCCATGATTTTTGACCGAATTATTAACTTCATGCATGTATTTTAGTCAAATTATTCAGACATCTCTGAAATTTGCTTCTATCTCACAATATAGTCCTTCCGTAAAAAAAAAAAAAAGGTGATTTTCCATTACATGAAAAGACTAAAAAAATCATACTGTGGGACCCATAAAATATTTAAAAAATAAATTTTTCACTCTCCCTATCTCCCTTCAACGTTAATCAAATGCGCTTTCCTTCCAAAAAACTCAATCGTAATCTTGCTTCTTGTTTGATCTCAAGAATTAATCTTTTTTTCTTCCTCCAACTCATCAATCTCTAATCAAGGAAATCTTGACCAAAAGAAAAAAAATATAGCACAAAAAGACGAGCTTGCCATCGGAGTTCCATCCTACGTCGGCCAATACCAAGCCGAAGCTATCCCACCAAACCCTGTCTTCGGTGATCTAGAAGGAATTCTGATTCAGCTTAGGCAACTGCGTCCTTGTGGACTCCATGAAACCTTGAAAAATTGATGTTGGTATTAATCAATCTCATCCACAGTGAAAGAGAAGAAAGATGCGGAAAAGAATCGCAAAGATTTCTTCAACTAAGTATTTGAAGAATTAATTGGCAATGGTGAAGTTCAACTGGGTTTTTATTATTTGGGCTAAATTTATACTCTCTACGACTCAAAAAAACGATATAATCAATAGTTCGTTAGCTTTTTGGTTATTTTTCTTCTGGGCTTCTGACGCTTGTCAACAAAAATTGTTGTCTTTGGTTGTCTTTTTGCAACCATTGTTTATTAGTTGGCTTTTCATGTGACGAAAACTCCGATTGCTATTGGCTTGGTGTCTCCCCCCCCCCCCCCCCCCTCTTCCTCAACTCATCACAATCCTCTAATCAAGGAAAGCCTTTGACTCCAAGAAGAAAAAAAACTATAAGCACAAAAAGACCGAGCCTTTGCCATCGGCAGTTCCATCTACGTCGGCCAATAGCCCAGCCGAAAGCTATCCCACCAAACCCCGTGTTTCTCGGTGATGCTAGAAGGAATTCTTGGATTCAGCTTAGGGCAACTGGTCCTTGTGGACTCATGAAACCTTGAAAAATTTGATGTGTGGTATCTCAATCAATCTCCATCCATCTAGTGATGATAAGAGCAAGCAACAGTAGAATGCAGGAAAAGCTCCAAATCAGCGAAGGAAGGATTCTTCATATCTATACGCAAAGTATGTTTGAGAGAATCTCTACAACGTTGGAATGGATTTGAAGCTTTCAGAACTGTCGTTTCTTATAAATTACTTTGGGCTTAAATTTATACTTCTCTAACGGGACGCAAAAAATACGACTTATCGTCATGCATAATCAATAGTGTTACGTTAGCTTTTATTGGTTTATTATTTCACTTCATGGCTTATCTGACGCTTGTCAACAAAAACATTGTTGTTTCTTGGTCTGTTTCTACTTTTGCTAACCCATTCGGTTATATAAGGTATGGCTGTTTCCTGTTGACGAACTAATACTCGCCGCATTCTATCTGGCAGGCCTCGTTCTTCCACCCACCCCTCCCCCCACCCGGAAAATCAGCAAATACCTCAATCTTGATAGCAAAATTTCTTCTTAATATATCATCAGGATCTTTTGTAAACCTCTTCCGCTTCAAGGTTAAGTGGTCATCGCTCTTCTGTAAGATTTGCAATCGAAGTTGAACATGCAGTTGTTCCTCGATTCACGACTCGGAATTTATCCAAGATGTGGAGCCGGACCTCACATCTAGCGTGGCTCGCATCGGTTTAAGATTAACGATGACCCCGAGGGCTCCCCATAGTAAAACCTGAAAACACTCTAAAAACGTTTTACTTATCTCACAAAATAGAATTTGTACTTCAAGAACATTTCATAGCCCGAGCTACGTTTCTTATAGGAAAATATACACCCTCATACGATCATTCAGAGAGTCTTCGGCCAAACATCTGATTCACCTTATCAATATTTCCCACAGGATTCTCGGGCCTACCTAATTAACAACTACATTACTATTTCTTAACCTATCTTTATGCTTATATCGAACTTGTCGGTCATGTCCTCCTCCCACCAATTCAAAAACATTCATATCAAAAAAAAAATAAGCAGAACGAAAATAATATATCCGTCTATGTTAACATTCACCACGACTAAATCATGGAGTCCCCCACCACCTCCTGCCATTGAAATCTTCGCACTCGGATCACCTGGACAGGCTCGGTCACACACAAGGGTACACGAAATGTCTTACATACTGCGGAATATCACTTAATTTGTTTGGATATAACATATGACTTACTACATCACTCACGTTTACATAGCTCAACCATGATTATCGAAAACTAGAGGCGAAATTTCTTTTTTAGTCCCTATTGCAGCGAAGAAAAATCAATAGTGTCTTACCGAATTGAAGAGAGAAATGTGAACGAAATTAAACAAGATATTGATGAGCCTTCTAGATAGTAACTACTATAACTATGTCACCAGCCACACGCATCTACAGCAATACTAAGATATATTATATCTATCGTATCACCGTAACTATCTAGGTCATACCGTAACTAGTTTATATTGGCTCACACAGCCAGTCAACACAAATGATCTCAATCATTACCAGCACTCACATCACTTTACTTTACATCCTTACATAAGTCACATTTCACGCTCGAAAACGTTGCACTGTCCGAAACAGAGTCGGCGTCACCGAATCGCCCGATGGAGCTCCGTCCTCTGCACAACAGGCTCCATCCTCTCAAAACATGATGCACCGCAGTGGAAAAGCCAAGATTCCCACATATCTGGACTGGACTGGTCTAATCCTCACTTGACCTGTCCTCTTCAATAATTTATTTTACTATTCTCTCTCATTTATCTTATTTTCCATACAATCACCAGATCAAATCATACCATATCCAACAGGGCACACCCCGATGGGGGGCACCAATCTCCCATTTACCCGTGACGGTCCAAAAATTTCACAATTCACTTCACATAATCAGGAGAATTCCATCTATTTTTAACACTCGACCGTCCCTTACATAACCCATGGTTGACCCTCAACTTTACATCCACAATCCCACACTAATACTATGGGCGCAATGGCATTCGTCCACAGTCCGCACACTACGAACTAATTCCAAGCATTGCAATTAAAATGCAGATCATATTGAACAGCTTAACAACATCGGGAAGCATATGCACAATTTAGATCATTATTACTCAAATGCAAACTAGCCGAATTAATATAATTCATAACAATACAACATCATGATAGAATACAATAATCAATAATAATAAAACAATTCTTCCAATAATGAAAAAACTACAAATAAGTAATTGAATACATTAAATAAATAATGGATGATAAGTACAATTAATTAGAGCACCATCTATTACTATCAGCATTAAGTTATAGAATAATAATCTAAAATTAAACTTATTAATTATATTGTTAATTTATAAAATTAGTCTAAGTTCTCTACGAAAACTTGTTTGGGCAGCACCTCACCCTAATAAAATATGAGGTACTACTCGTACCTGCTCGAGAATATCACAATATAGGATCAATGGACTGTTTATATATTTATCAATCAATGCACACCAGCCCATTCCGATTCGGACGATCTCAAACAGTTTAAAATTTTCCTTTCCTTATCCATCCAAAATAAAATGTCAAACATTCAACTATCTAATTCACATACTTACAATAACCTTCAAACAGTTCCAATAATATTATTGAACATTCTGTTGTTTCACATAAATTATAATCCAAGCTTCTTTAGCCAACATCTGACCAAATACAAATGAGAAACCTTTTAGTTACCAAATTATAACATCATAAACAGAAACTTATCTTTATCCAATTAAGTTTTAATTTACTTTAACTATTTATAAAAACCTCCTTATTAAAACCTTTATTTCATCATCTCTGTGCTTAACCATGGTATAAAACAACATTCTTTTAAACCATTTTAAGGTATAAACAACATCTTTAAACATTTACTAAAATTCTAAACTAGCTACTAAGAACCAATGCTTCAATTAAATTACAATTTCATAAATCCTTCTATTAGGTAACCCAACTCACAACTTGAACGTATAACTAAAGCTTCCTAAATTTCCTTCATCTTGCCACGAAAAATACAATTTCTAGATTATAGTAAATTATGTTTACCATCGAATCGTTACCTAACAAGATTGAAGCTATAGAGCATTAACCTAACAAGATTGAAGCTATTGAGCATTAACCAATGGTATCCATCACAAAAATATTGAGAATATATCCATTTCTATGTTAGTTCATATAAAAATGGCAACAATTACTTGCAATAGCTACTACCCACCAAATGCAATAGGTTCTCCTTAACTTAGACTTATACATATATGCACAAACTTCACTCATTTGCCATCAAAACTTAGATTCTTAACATCCTATAATCCATATCAAGCAATGGTTTATAGAAATAATGAGAAATAGCTGCTGCCATTTTAAAATTGCTCTAATTTATTATATAGAATATGCAGCAAACACATTAGCCTACACATACACATTTTTTAAAAAAATTTCAGTCTGCAACTCATTGGAATGATAAAATTCAAGATTTTTCCTTCCTAATCATAGTGAAAACTCAAGCAAATAACCATTAAACCTACTGCCATCTTTAAGGGATTATCATTCCTCTAACAAATTTGTGTAAATGAAACCCTCCTATACTACTTATTAACATCTAGCAAACATTAGTTCATAACTTTAGTTTGTAGTTTTAATTCAAGATTTCTATAAATCTTTTTAAATTTTTTTTTTTTTTGTATAAACAGGTACTGAAAACTCTAACTACAAAGATCTTGAAATTTATGCAATTTAATTTGCAAAAGAGTGAGGAGGGAGGATAATCGGCTTACCTTGTCGGCGATAGTCGCCGGAGTTGCTCGGAGAGAAGGACGAAGACGCAATTGTCCCGATCGTGCTGAAGTCTCCTGCTTCGTTGTGACTTTGGCGCTCATAAGAAACGGAAACGGAGAGAAGGGAAAGGAAGACCGGACTGCTGCGGCGAGGAGTCGACGACGAGGAGGCGCGGCGAGGAGTCGACGACGAGGAGGCGCGGCGCGGGTCTCTGGTCGTTGAAAAAATGAGAGGAGGAGAGGGGAGGGGTGAGGTCGACGCTGCTGGAAGAAGAAGAAAGGAGAGAAAAGAAAGAAAGAAAGAAAGTAGGTCGGTTTCTAGGTCGGTTTCTAGATCATTCCGGTTCGATTCGAACCGGTTTGATCAGATTCAACGATTTCGCTCGATTCTTGCTCGGTTTGGAGGTTTTTTCACTTGGTTTTCAGATTATTCATATGGTTTCCGAAAAAAAAACGATTTGATTCCCAGGTTCAATTCGATTTTATTGTAATTATTTAGTTAGGTTAGAAAACATTTCCTCCATTTACTTGATAATAATAAAAATAGTAATAGTAATGATATTTGATTTTAGAATAATTAATTTACATATTCATAATAGGTTAAATTTCGGGGTTTCGTAGTATTTCTCAAAAATTTTAACTGTTTATGATTCAAAATTTATTTTCGACATTTTATTTGGGCTTGGGCCTAACTCGTGAAATTTTGGGCTCATATTTTCGACATTTTATTTGGGCTTGGGCCTAACTCGTGAAATTTTGGGCTCAAATTAGAATTGTTCAGTGTTTACGGCCCATACCGTCAAAAATTCAGATTTTTAATTTAATAAAATTCTAAAGTTTTGAAAATAAAATTACGGGTTGTTTTAGATTCTATTATCTTGGAATTGGTTGCTTAATTAGTTATTTTATGTTCTTTGCTTTGAATTAGCATTTGGGTTGTGATGGAATTGAGAGAAATTTGTGTTCTTTGAGGAACTATTCAAGGATAGTTATGCTTGTGTTGCTTTTTTCCATATGGGCTTTTGTTATTTGTGGGTCCCACAATATGGTTTTTTGTCTTTTCATGTAAAATTAATGGAAAATCAGCATTTTTTGACGGATGGACTATATTGTGAGACGGAATCAAACTTTAAGGATGTCCAAATAATTTGACCAAAATATATGGACTAAGTTAGTAATTTGATCAAACCTGAGGGATGAAATAGTAATTTTCTCTCTTCTTTTTATAATCTCTAACTTTGGAGTATGTGTACACACAACATACGCACACATTGTTCTATTAATTTTGGTGTATCTAAAAGACCCTTTTGGCTTCCACAAAGGCGATGAAGTCAACGATGAAATTGCAAGGATTTTGAGCCGGCACATAATTTTTGTGTATGTGATATACCTTTGGCCTGTCTCTATCTCTTTGTTTGGTCAACGTGTATTACTTAGGTGGGACTTACTGCCTGGCTCTATTCATTTCTCTTATTGCGTAAATCACGATGAGATATGGCCGTTCCATGTAATTATTATTACAAAGTTTGGGAAATTACATCCAGCTGATAAAATACTGTTTGGAAAGCTATAAAACCCTACAATTTGACAACCAGGACATTGAGCTCTGCTCTCCTATATCACTCTTTATTGTTCTCTCTCTCTCTCTCTCTCTCTCTCTCTCTCCACCATGAAATCTCAATCATGGTTAGTAATGGCTTTAATTTGCATGAGTTTCATGCAAATATGCAGAGCATCCTCCAAAGAAGATAATAAAATAGTTAGTTTACCAGGGCAACCGCAAGTCAGTTTCCAGCAATACGCTGGGTATATTACCGTTGATGAAAAGCAACAGAGAGCTCTTTTCTATTACTTTGTTGAAGCAGAAACAAACCCTGCTTCAAAACCTCTCGTTCTCTGGTTAAATGGAGGTAACCCATTTTACTTAATAAACTAGCTGCCTGAAGAATTTTTAGAATTAAAAAGAAATATAAATGAAAATTTAAACACAAATATCACCTTTTTCTTTTGCATATATGTATAGACGTGCACTGATTTGAATTATTGGAATAAATTTGCAGGACCTGGTTGTTCTTCTGTTGGAGCTGGAGCTTTTTCTGAGCATGGTCCCTTCAGGCCAGCTGGTGGAGTGAATCTGACCAGAAATGAATATAGTTGGAACAAAGGTGCCACTGTTATTAATTTATGTTGTGTTTTTTTTTTTCTTGTGTTCTTTAATGCGCTGATTGACCAACCGAACTAACATTCTATTTTATATATATGTGCAACAGAAGCAAATATTCTATATTTGGAATCACCAGCAGGAGTTGGTTTCTCCTATTCTGCTAACACATCTTTCTATGACTCTGTGAACGACACTATCACAGGTATGATACTATCAAATCTGGTAAATTTCTTATTTAGAATGCTTAAAGGTATAAATTTTTATACTCCATCTTACTTGGTATAAATAAAAATAATTCTATTGGTTAGATTTTGTTTCGCCAAAACTGATATCAGGATTGCTTTTTCTTCAGCACAAGATAATCTGGTGTTCCTGCAACAGTGGTTTGAAAAATTTCCTGATTACAAGAACAGAGATTTCTTTATCACTGGGGAGAGCTATGCAGGTTTACTTTTCTTTGTAATGAAAATATATTAGGAAATATTTATCTCTTGGACAGGGATTTGATGTCCTTAACTCCTTTATTAGGTCACTATGTCCCACAACTTGCAAATCTCATCGTTCAATCAGGATTAAAATTCAATTTGAAGGGAATAGCTGTAAGGAGATACCAGTCCCAAAGAAATTAAAAATGATTTAGGCATTTTTACTCACTATTTTATTTCATTATTCTCTCTTTTTTCTTTCAGCTAGGAAACCCTCTCCTGGAATTCAGTACGGACATGAACTCAGAGGGATACTACTACTGGTCTCATGGGTTGATCTCAGATTCTACTTATCAACTTCTCACTTCAACTTGTAACATGTCACAGCTATGGAGAGAGGGAATAAGAGGCTCTCTTTCACCTGATTGTGAAGCTGTTAATGATCGAATTTCGGCAGAAATTCCTTATGAAATTGATGAGTATGATGTCACTTCTGATGTTTGTGTTTCTTATGGCCAAGCACAACTGAAAGTGAATGATCATCCTTTGAGGGCAAGGTTCCGATTTTCTAAATCATTACAAGAAAATTCTAGCAAGCCCGTAAGCTCTCCTTATACGCAGAAAGCTTCAGAAAATATCGATCTTTGTGTACAAGAAAAGACTTATGAATACTTGAACTTCAAAAATGTTCAAGAAGCTCTTCATGCCCAGCTAGTAGGAATCGCCAAGTGGAGTTCCTGCAGCCAGTAATTTACAATTCCACACTCTTAAGCCTCATAGATAATTTTCCATATTACATATTTTGATAACATATACTATCGCTTATTGCAGAGTAGTTAACTACGATAGGGAAAACCTTGAGATACCTACCATTGGCGTGGTGGGTTCACTTGTCAGTTCAGGCATTCGGGTTCTAATATACAGGTACGTAATTTGATTTTACATTTCTCAGTGAAAAAGGAGAGACAATTTTTAGTCAATTAATTCTCGTTTTTGAAAATAATGATACAGTGGAGACCAAGATTCGGTTATTCCATTTATTGGGTCAAGAACATTGGTAAATAATTTGGCAAAGCAGCTGGGACTGAATGCAACTGTGGCTTATAGAGGTTGGATTGAAGATAAACAGGTTAGCCTTTTTCTATACATAATAAGTATATGTTGTTAAGAACCAAAGGACTTGATACCTAATTAAGTTTGTTATGCCAGAAAGTTTTGCTATGCCCATGGATCCAACTAGAAGTTGAAATTTGAAGGGCCAAATATAAATTTTTGAATTTGAAGGAGCAAAATGGATTATTTTTTGTCTTATGATAGTTTTTTAAAGGAAATAATTTATTCTTAAAAAAACCAAAAAAAAAAAAAAAAAAAGGAAATAATTTATTTCTTAAAAAAACCAAAAAAAAAAAAAAAAAAAGGAAAATTTACAACAATTAAGTTTATTTGTGTTTGTTCAGGTTGGTGGATGGACAGAGTTATATGGAGAACATATAAGTTTTTACAAACAATTTAGAGGAGGGTCTCATTTGGCACCATTTCATCACCCAAGAGAACACTAGCATTATTTAAAGCATTTCAATAAAAAAAAAAAAAAAAAGGAAATTTACAACAATTAAGTTTATTTGTTGTTGTTCAGGTTGGTGGATGGACAGAAGTTTATGGAGACATATTAAGTTTTACAACAATTAGAGGAGGGTCTCATTTGGCACCATTTTCATCACCCAAGAGATCACTAGCATTATTTAAAGCATTTCTAGCTGGGAAGCCACTTAGCTAAATCAAGAACATGGATCTAAATTTCAAGAAAGGAGTTTTCCCCATACAATCATACTTGATGGGCAATGCAATTTCTTTTATGTTTCTTTCTTCTTTCTTCTTTTGATTTTTGAATAATTGAGATGTTTGAATCCCTGATGTATTTCATTGATTGCTCATCTCTTTTTTAGCAATTCAAATTCATTTTTATTTTCTAGTCATTTTGACCAATTTGTCTAGATGCATTCTATCAGACAGTGGGTTTGATCACATTTTTATTCTTTGACATTGTTTGATCACATTCTTTTACTATTTTGCCTAATTATCTTCTTACCACTTTTTTGTTAGATTTTTTTAAAAGACCTACTACTGGACAAAACAATTTCTCTTTTTATTGTTAATGATAATTAATTTGCATTAATTAATAACATGTGACTAATTCAAAGTTTTAACTAGTCTTTATTATTTTTTCAAAAGTACACTATTTGTTCGTATGTTGCTCTAAGAGCTTAATTAGGTCATTTCTTCCATTTTTATTGCCGCATGGCAATCATTATATGGATTGGTGGATGCCAATTTATTTTTTAAGGGCAGATCTAAACCTTGAATTTGCAACTTGTTAATTCTTTTTTTTTCTTTTTTTTTTTTCTTTCTTTTTCCTGAACTTACTTCCCTTTTCCCAGCAAACACACACTATCATTTAGGGTTTCCACGCCTAGAAATCCTAACATAAAATACGTTAACTTGTTGGTAAATAGAGTTACATGTAGCCTAGCTTATTTTAGGCTTATTGCATGACCTACATATAGGCATATTTTGCCATGTCAATAAAAATTAACGAAACTAAAACTTTCACCTTTGCATTAATTGAAAGGATATATAGGTAATTATACTAATTGTAAATTCAAATTCTACTTTTCAGCACACAAAAAAAGTTAACAAGGATTCTATTAGTATATGGTCATTACATGTGTTTCAGCTGATGTCCGCACATTTTGCTTGATTTTGTGGGTTACATTGCAAAATCCGAACACTGTGCTATGTTGCAGAGGGCAATTTAGAGCTGCTTCCATTTGGCAAAAGGCTTGGCAGTCCGCTCAACTGTTGTTTGCCGATTCCAGTTAATCACGCCCAGCTGTCTGGATAATACCACCAATTGGTTTTTGCGTACTACAGATGCGAGTTTTTTTAACGCCTGTCAGTTGGACTTATCTAGTGCAGCAGACATCAATGTTGCCGAAGCTTTATCCTTTAAGGAAGCACTAAGTTGGGTGGAAGGCAAACTCTTATGCAGGTTTTGGGGCTTTTACGAAAATGGTGTTTCGAAATATCCAAAAATTCAATTTTATAGATTTTTCATTAAAAAGCTAATTTTTAATTCCAACCAATGGCATTATACAACCACTTAAAAGAATACATTTTATTATTATTATTATTATTAAATCAGACTCATAAATCAGTTTAAATCTTCAAACCAAATGAAAAAACATATAAATCAAGTGGAAATCAGACCAAATCCTTGGTTTTGATCAAACTCAGTTCAAAATAAACCGGATTATTCTAGAAAACCCTAGCAGCTTTTTTTTTTATCTTTTTTTTTTTTTTCCTCTCTTTTCTTTCTCTTCTTCTTCTTTCCTCTTCCTCGTTCCAGCGGCAGTAAGCCGCCCTTCCTCTCTCTCTTTCTGTTATTCCGGCCACCACTTGAGCCAGCCGGTGCCACCTCCTCTTCGTCGTCGCGCAGCCAGTTTCTCTCTCTCGGTTTTCGTCTCTGGTTAACAGCAGGCAGGCGAGCTGCGATCTCTCCGTTGCGAACGACGCAGCAGCCCCTTCGCCGTCTCCGACGATCTCGTCACAATCGAACGGCTCCAGCAACTCCCTTGTCGACGGCGTAACCTCTCTCTCTCTCTCTCTCTCCCTCCGTTTGTTTCCAGCCGGCACAACAAGTGTGGCGAGCTGAAGTTGCAATGTGCAGTCGGGTGGTGGTGTCTTTACAAAATTCTTGGCAGTGTCGATTTTCCGGGCGGCGAGACTCCAAGAGGTAGAAATGTGGATTTCGTGCACCGAATCCGAATTCAAATTCCATTTTTTATCGGTACACTTTAAGATGTAGTCCGTTAAATTTGGTATAAAGTTCAAATTTAAAATTTAGACAATTTAAGTTTATTAATGAATTAATCAAAAATAAAATAAATATTGACATTGGTAATTTATGAAATACCGTAAGTGCGGATGGAAAAAAATTATTATGAAGTACGGTGGATGGGCTGTTGTTATTGCAATTTGCACAGTATGTGAAATTCGGATAAACTAAATTACAAATGAAATGCTGTCAAATTTTTACAGAAAAAGCAAAGAAAGGGATTCTTAAAGAATTAATTTATCATACAAGATAACATTTTGTAATATTAAATAAGAAATAAATTATGAAAGAATGAATTAGATAAATAAAAACCAAAATTTATTTGTATTTGATTGAATTTGACAAAGTATTTAAAAATGAGATGTTAAGTGATATTTTAAGTAAATAAATTAAAGATGTTACTACAAAATTATATTTTATTATTTGGTAAAGTAAATAAATATATGAAAATATATATATGGTAAAACTATATAATATTTATTTATTAAGATAAATAAATGTATGAGTATATATGTATATACATTTGATTTACGTAAATAAGTTAAATCCTTGTTTTAAATTGGATTTGAAAAAGGTAATCTCTAAGTTAATTTCAGAAATAAAATATGTCTTTTAAGTTAGCCAAAGTATTTATAAAATATGTCTCTTAAAGAAAATTAAGTTTAGTCAAAGGATTTTAATAAATGGATTCAAGTGAACCTAATGATTTCTTAAATAAATATAGATTTCAATGCCCATTTAGAGAAATATGAATTTCAAAATAGTAAATAAATTTGTGAAGGATTTAAAGTTATTAGTTTGTTTAAAAATATAAAAGTGAATTATGAATAAGAATAATAGGAATTTAAATGTCAACAGAACTGGAAGTAAATAACTAAATATGCAATGTATGTGAATTTGATATTAGATTGAGGATTTCCAAGAAATTGTTGTGGAAGTTTAATTGGTCAAGAAGAGAAACAAATTCTTGCTTTTGATGAGAGTAATAATATATAATACTTTATCAAATTTAAAATAGCATAATTCATCCTTCTTCTCGGAGTTTGTTGAAGTAATGTCTAGATGTGTACAATAGTTCCTATTTAACTAAGGTCCTCTAATATTTGTAATAGAAGTGGATATATGCAGTTATTATAAGAGTTTTATGATTGTAATAATAATATCAATTACATGTGAATTTTATTTGAAAAATTGATAGTACAAGTCGAATAGTTAAATGGTGCCCAATGAGTAAGTTAATGATTATACCTATAAATGCATGTAGAGCAAGGCTGTGAAGATTGAAAAGATAACGAGTGATGAATATATGTATTCACGTTGGTATTTGAATTAAGAACTTACAATAATTTGGATCATTAATATTTTATTGGACCGTCCAATTGAATATTTAATTGGGTCTATAGAGTTATAATTAGTATTTGAGTTTACTACCTAGGCCATAGTGCTGATTCGGTCAATAGAAATGGATCGTGACATGTTTAGAAAAAAACTAATTATTAATTACAGAAATGATGTCCTCCAAAAAGTATTTACGAATATAGTATTTCAAAGGTATTTATTACACTTTAAATGTAACAAATGCATTGTTATATTATGGCTGTAACAAAAGCAATATTTTTTTGTCGGAAAAATATTTTCTTCCCTCTCTCTCCTTGTTAAACGTTAAATGTAGACACAGATATAACACGAACTTTTAGAAAATTTGAAGTTAAAGGACATTATCACACTTACAACGTAACAATTTAAAAAATTAAAGTTAAAAGGATGATAACAATAAGATGATCACAATAAGTTAAAAATTAAAGTTAAAGTTAACAATATATTTATGATATTGTTCCACAATAAATATAACAATATATAAAATAAAAATTTTAGAATCATGCGGGGAAATAAAATAAAATTGAATGACTTTACATATAAGTATAAGTATTTATCTTGAAATAAGATGATCACTTTTACCTTTATTATCAAATCTAAAACAAAACAGTTACACAATATAATAAGAAAAAAAAATTTAGAATCATGCAGGAAAATAAAATTAAATCAAATAACTTTTACATATAAGTATAAGTATTTATCTTGAAATAAGATGATCACATTTGCCTTTATTATCAAATCTAAAACAAAATAGTTACACAATATAATAAGAAAAAAAAAAAAAGCATATCTAAACAAAATAAGGTAATTATTTCGATCAACAAACATCTACCATTATATATTAACAAAAAAAAAGAAATTTAAACCTTACTAAATACCACAAATCTTCAAACATGTTGTGCAATAACAAAAAGCAATAAAAAAATTTTTTTTAATGCAATTTTTCTATATTTTGAAGGATTAAAATCATTTTCATAAGAAAGTTTTTTAAAAAAAAAGTTTTGGGGCGCCACAGCACCCTTAGGCCCTAAGGGAGCTCCGCCCCTAGCAATATGTATAATTATAGTTTACTTAGAATAGTTAAAGATATAAAAGAAAGAGAAAATGAAGAATAAGCAATGACTATAAATAGGAAGTATTGTTATACAATAGATAGATGTATAAGCATTTTGAGTTCCAAACATTCACGAGATAGTATAATATAAATTCTTCTTGCAACCAGCCAAATACCTTTCTTCCTCTTAATAATACCACCTCTTACACAACGATATCTTTCTTCCTAACAATAATACCATCACTTATACAATTCCATACATAAAATCATTCCTTTCTCCTTTTTCATTCACATATATGGTTTAAATTGAGTAAATAAAACCTATAGGTTGTTACACTAAATATAACAATAACAATAGTTTATAGGTTGTTACACTATAAGTGTAAAAAATGCACTTAGCATATATGAATTTGCAGGGAATCTCAACTATAAGTTGTTACACTGTAAGTTCAACAATTGTACCTAACACAAATGAATTTGCATGAGAATCTCATTCTATGCGTATATTCTGACATTATTACACTATAAGTGTAACATTTAACAAGGAGAGAAGGACAACATTAAAAAAAAAAAAAAATTATTCCTTTTGTTGTTGGGATTCTAACTGATCCTGAATGGGGCCTCCAATAATTACGTATTGGATATTAACG